GTTTAACACGAACCTCAGCAAGCTGAAGCAACGCGATGACTCCCGCAGGATCGTGGTAAAAGTAGACTTCCAGAGAATCTACCCCCACGCTCTCAACACTGCCACACCGGGACCCGATGTCAAGAGTAAGTCGAGAAGGCCGGAGATCGGGAGGGGGGGGTTGGCAGACAGTGGGCGCGAAACACGTGTCAATACGCGCCACAACAACACACCTCGCCAGGTGGGCGCCCGTCTGGGAGCGCCATAAAGGCCACATTAGGAAGGAGCCATTAAGCCTGAGTCTCAGCCCATAGTAAGCCACTCCACACAATATGCTACACACTGGGCCGACTGCGGTGTCCAAGTTTTCCCGTCTCTTGGCAATTTTCCAAGCTACGGCTCTTAGCACGCCGCGATAGTTTCAAGTGCACCAGATTGATTATAGAGAAGAAATAAATGCACCCACCGCCAGCAACAGGCCACCGCCTAGCTGATCGGTTGCCTGAAGCTAGTTGGGCGCAGTGCTGAAAAAGAAAACAAGGCGGAGCAGGTTGAGCAATGGAAGCGGAAAGGAAGAAGAGAGAGAGAGGATGGGAGAAAACGAAGAAAGAAAGAAAAAAACGGGGGAAGAAACAAGAAAGAGAACGGAAACGAAACGAAAATAAGAACGAGAACACAGCTAACCTTAAAGTCTCCGCTGAAGTAGGTGGCATGTGGTAGGCAAAAGATTATACCACACCTATGCACGGTGCCAGATGGAATATGTTTTGAGATAATTCCATTTTCGTCAGGGTTGCCGCTTTTTTCGGTTTCAACAAGAAGGACATTTAAACTTGCGCTGTAAACAGACATTTCTCCTTGAGCTGCAGAAGGTTCAGCTCAGGATTGCAAGCAGCAGGTCTGCAAGATGCCTCGGGGAAAGGAACCTACTCCTAGCGTTTACAAAATAATTTACCTTCTAAATACCAAGTGGTTCAATTTCTCAGTTTCGTATTTGACAACCCTGGATGTAAAGGGTTTGCAGTCCGATTAGGTAGCAATCTCATGCAATTTCGAGTCACTAGCCCCTGCCCCGAAATGTTGTTTTCGCTACTGCTATTAAACTGTCCCTTACGCTTTTATTACAAGGTCATCACGATTGCCAGCTCGTATAGTGACAAAAATAAAGGGAATATATGATTCTTAAAAAAGAATGTAAACATATATTTTTTTTCGCGAAATCTCAAAATTAAGAATGGACCAATATCCGGACCTGTTTATGTACGATTGGAAAGCAAAATTTTGAAAAAAAGATAGATAATGTCTACTCTGAAATGACAATTCATGTGGACACAAACATTTTACAGGGCGAAAATAGCAAAAAGGGGATCCCTTTTGCATTTGTTCCGAAAAAAACTATGTTAGAAAAAAGTGGCAAATCAATTAGACGAAGTGATAGTCCTCATTGGCATGCCAGTGTACCCACCAGATTTAATTTGAATTGATAAGGAACTACACTTATTAATATTGCAGTGGCGCTTGAGCAAGTTATAATCGCGGAGTCATATTCTGAAGGGCCTGGGGCTTTATGTCTGCAAAAAAATATTGGGCAGGCATACCTTGACTGTAGATATCTGCTATAGGTCCAAACCAGTCACCGGCTCCGTTCACTTTACTATGTGATACCTACGTCTGCGCCGCAAATAGGATGGCCATCTCATTTAATTCACGATGCCTGTAGACATGCTGAGATGTAAACTTTTGCAGTCAGCGAGCCCTGAACCCTTGGAGGGAAAAGCGCCAGGCCGAGGGCGCGTGGGTTATTTAAAATGCACCCGCACAATCAATAAGACCGCCAAAATGTCCGTTTCATTCACAACCCGTATTCGTGCCTGTCCAAGGCATGGCTGAGGGCTACGATCGCCGA